GTCGGGGAAGTTCCGTGATTTTTTTTGCGGCGCGGCGTTTGTAATACTCGGTGGGGCTGTATGATGTGGGTGTGGGGGAGAATGAGGAGATTTGATACACTCAATTCAGGTCCTCGATTGTGTAATGAGTAAGGAGAGAGAAGGCTTAGAGTGCATCTGGACGGTTCGTTTGAAATGTGTTGTTTTCCCAGGTACACTTTTTGGGGTGGACTTAGAGGGGACATCTCAGCGGGGGGTCGTTTTCTTGTGTAGACGTAGGAAAGAAAAGATGGTGTATTAGTAAGGTAGATTGTATTGTATGGTTCAGTTTGACAACGTGTCAACGTAGACCCACAGATCGAGTTTATGTTATTTTTTTCATGCATAGAGACTGAAATTATGAACAGCACACGTACAGACACAAGAACAATGGACTGTCCGCCGGCCGGCTGGGCCGGCAGCAGAGATGAGACCAACGAGAACTCAAAACGAGAACTCACACACAATTTAATGAAGGAATGAAAAAAAAATAACGGATGTCCAAATTATTAACACAATCATCAGTTTGGGTACGGATTGAGTTGAGCCAAATTTTGTCGATCGTGACCGGAGTCGAATTGAAGCTGCTGGTTTGCATTCGTGCATGCTTGGTGAGCTGGCTCGCTCGGTGCATGCCTCCGTAGCTAGCCGCAGCAGCCTAGCACGAGCTGGGCGCGCCCCGGATGTTGCACCTGGAAGGGATGGCCATGGCGCAGCCGGCGTAGGGCGTGCTCCTGAGCGTGCCCCAGTAGCTGCGGCAGACGCAACCGAAGTCGGCGTATCTCAGGGCGTTGCAGCAGCCGTGGCTCGGCGTTGCCCCGCCGCCCCACCACCAGCTCGAGCAGGCGGACTTGCAATGGTGCATCACCGCGCCAGCGTCGACGTTGCACGTCCCGGCCTCGGCCGCCGCGGCCAGCAGCGCGACCGCCATTATGGCCACGGCCACGGCGGCGCTGCTCAGCTTCTCCTTCCTCATGGCCATCGTCGGAACGTGGGTAGTATTGGCAGGCCGCACTCTCAGTACTCAGTAGTGTGTTTACTACGTACGTAGCCTGCAGTTTGTGATGATCTGTGTTGTGTGTCACGACTCACGATCGACGAAGCAGGGCGTATATATAGCGCGGGGAAACGAGATGACAGCGTGGCCAGCGCCGTGCATGCATGTGCAAATGTGCTCGCGCGCGCGCGAGCAAATCGCCAACTCGCCAACTCGCCGTCGGGGGCTCATCGGTTCGAGGTCAACGGCCAGACCGCCGCAGCAAGTAGCCGCCGCTGCTCGTCCGCGTGCTGGCACTCGGCAGGCGGCAGCCGGCATGCGCGCGCGCATATATGTACCTGTGGGCTGTGGAGACGATACTACGCTACACGGCGAAGAATGTGCGCAGTACGTGTACGTGGACGTGGTCAGCAGCGGCAAGCGCGCGCGGTGCGTTCGTACACGGGCTGACGAGCTGGCGGGCGCCGTTGTAGCAGCCTTAAATTTATACGTATCTGTACTTTGTAGGCGTACATAGAACGAGTTTAATACGGTTGACTAAGGACGTGATCGGTTGGGAATTGGGAATATTGGATGCTTCCCCTCTAGGCTCTACTCTCCTAATAAGTTTTTGGTTGACTATGATGAGCTGCAGCCTCCGGCAGAGCAAGACTCCGTGACTTTGCTCTGCGAAGTCCTTTGCCCCCTATATCTCCCGCACGATCCAACAAATCCAACCATACTGAGTGATTGTAGCCCAAAAAACACAGCTGAGACCTAGCAATTTTCACCCCATACGTGACTATCTCCTGTTTTTACACTACATTCTTATTATTCCACATCTTACACAATCATTGCATTAGATTGTCCCACTCTCTTTTTTTTTTTGAGGGAAAATTCAAACTTTCATTAACTCTCTACTCCATCTGTCCACAAACATAAGTATTTCTAAGATTTTTAGGATAAATTAACCGAGATGACCAATGCCAGTAATCCCGTTCAGAAAAAATGGCAATAATGATATAATCAATGATTAATTATGGGGGAGGTGTGGATTATTAGGCTACAAATGCTTACGTTCGTGAGGTGAACGTGGGAGTAGCTTCCAGCAATCCGGCCACGGGCCACCCATAGTTTTTTTTTTCAAACTTGGAAAGCAACAAACCAAGCATTGGATGTCTGCAGAATTACAGAGACAATGCATGCAGAGCCGACTGAACCGTGGTCTCAAATGTCCGCTCGTACGTTCTGCCCGGCTGCCGCCCCCTTCGGCGGTTTTGGGCCCTTCCCCTTGCAGCTTGCACCAGCACTGCTCCGGAGTTTCACGCAAAACCACCTCCCTGCGCTGCACTTCTCTGTAGTCCGTATGACACCCAAGATTTTGTACAGCACCGTCCGTAAATACTACTACTAGTTGTTGTTGTTTCCGACCAGATTTTGTACTGCGCGCAGGGCAAAAGTCAAAAAAACCGGCGTAAATTTCCGACCAGAGAGTACAGAGTTTATACAGTAAGTAAAATCTACAAGAACTGGAAGAGCGAGAGAGAGGATATAAGAGTAATACACTGCCACAACATGAAAAAGGTTTCAGAATCAACTGAATTCCCTTCAGATTCTCTTCTAGCTCTATGGTTGGCGGGCGTGAACTTGTGCTGCGTTCCGTGACCCAGACGACTTGCGATTAGTTACAGCGTCGACTTCAATTGTCCCGTCTGATGAGCAGAGGAAGAAGCTGGGAACGCCAGAAGGATGAAGCTTTGCCGCACGCAGGCATGGATAAAAAGCAGATCTTGACGCGTCAATTCAGCTGGGACGGCGGACATCTGCACTGTCCCTAAGCTAGCTTACATCAAAAGCCTAACTTAACCCAAAGGAGAGGCGGCAGCGAGCAAACACGCTTCTAATCAAAAGGAGCAGAGGCCAGAGGGCCTGGTAAAAACCTGGAAAAAGATAAAGGGGCAGAAAGAGAAGAGGAGGAGGAGAAGCTCGCTATGCGGGCCGGGATTCAGAAAATTCGCCAGCTTCCTGGTGCTCCCGTCTTTTGTTTGTTTTTTTCCCTTCGTCGTCGTCAATCAAAGCAGTAGATTCCGAAAGGTTCTTAGCTGGCCCAACAAAAAGGCCCATCCGCATATGCGTGGATATACGCTTGTACCAGAAGGCCTGGTCCATCCTGTTTTTTTTTTTTAATTCTTTCTTCGGCTGCACTCAACATAGCTTTAGCACACTGTGCCTTTGCATTAGCAACAGGAACAGGGGCACCCGTGACCACTTTGAGTGAACTTATTATTATTATCACTGTCGCTGGTATAGCCTGGTACCTGTAATAATTTCACAGCAACTACTGGCCAGTCAATAGTCATCAGTGCGAAGAAAATTGTACTAGAGCAAATTAATCCGTTCCAGTAAGCATGTGTGTTCTTGCAAAAGATTTGAAATCATGCCAGTGATAACTCATAATAACGTGTACGTGTTCATCAATCCATCTGGTGAGTAGCAGCAGTGACACACGGAATGACTTGTAGTAAAAGCCTAAAAGGGAGGTGACATGCACACACAGTAACAGAGAAGAGAAGAAAGGGCCCATCGGCCAGCGACTTTTTATTTTACATGCACGGTAACATGACCGACGACCGACCGGTCCAAGTCACGCATTCTTTCTCCCGTTTCTATTACGGTCAGTTTTCCAACGAAAAGCGAGCAGCAAGTAACCGGGGGGGGTCGCAGTCGTACACGGCGCCGCGCCAGCCAGCCACTGGCCCTTTTCCTTGCTCGTCACCGGCCGATGGCGACGGCGGTGGAAAGCTCTCGGCGGCGGGGAAGTTAAAAGCGAGTCGCGCGGGCGCGGCGTGCAGCGGGGCGGAACCGCTGGAATCATTGTGGTTTTGCCATGGTTCCGTGCAAAAGCGGATGGCTTTTGGCGCTTTTCTCGCTCCCCACCATGCGCGGCCGGCCAGGCCTTCCTTGAGAGCCACGGCTGATCGAGGAGCTGCTCGGCTGCCGGGTGCCGGCCGGGGAGGGGAGGCTACTGGCGAGCGCGACGACCGGCGCCATCCGCGGGTGTGTGTGTGTGTTCGACAAGGGCACGCGCGCGACAGGCACGCACACACACAACAGACACTCATTGTTTATCATGCGGTGGCAAGGACTTGGTGCCAAAAGCCGGCAACTTTACAGTCGTTACTGGAGACGGAGAGAGACGCAGACATAGACACTACACAGGCGCGCAGGCAGAGAGACGAGACGGAGAGATATTGGTAATAAGGGGCTGTTTGGTTTCGTAAGTCCGGTGACTTATTAAGTCAGGTCACTGAAAACTAGTGACTTATAAGTCATGTCTGTTTTGATTGTAGATGATTTATAAACTCATTAAAGATGTGGGCCCATATGAAAAAGGGTGATTTATAAGTTTTAAGCAGGGGTAAACCAACTTAACACTTATAAGCAGGGATGACTTATAAGTTGATAATGTTTAGCAAAATAAGTTACTTTTTTACTTTTTAACTTATAAGTAGATGACTTATTTGTAACGAAAGCCCTATTCTGGTCCAGTGAGTGAGAGTGAGGCAGCGAGCACAGAAAAGAAGAGCATCATCACTGCGCTAGCGCTTGGCCTGTGCCGCTGTGCGCCTCTGCCCCTGCACAGCATGCACGGCGCATGAGTGACTCAGTGACCGTGGGGTGCTAGTGCTAGTACTCATTGCCTGCCTGCCTGCCCGGGCTCGGCTCATCAGTAACAGCTGAACGCTAGCTGCTGCTTTGGGCGCTCGCTTTGCCTCGACGGCTTTCTGAAAAGTTTGGGTACGTGTGCCCCCACATTCTCTTCGGCCAAGCCTTTTAGGCTTTGGGCGCTCGGGCGCTCAGCTACGTATAGAGGAGCAACCCTCTGCTGCCCAATTCCAACTCAGCTTTGACTGCCCTTGCATTGCTTGCTGCTCAGTTCTTTTTCCCCTGTTCTTCCTCCTCTTCTTCTAGCACCTCGGCGCCTTCTTCGGCAACTGCGACCGAGATGGAGGTAAGCCAAGAATATTAGCCACTGCTTCAGCACCTTGGTTTTCTTCTCTTGTTTTCTTTTGTCAGATGAATACTAGCCTCGTCATGCTATATGGGGATCTGCATCCTTTTGCAACAAACTATACACCACGTCCTTGCTAACAGCGAAACATGCCATGGCAATTGGAATATCCTCGTCTTATATAGGAGTAGTTATCTACTGTGAATCTGAAATATATACTATGCTCGTAACAGTGTTTATTTTCTTTTTAAACAAGCACGTACGTATCCTACATTCACATACTGTTTTTCTTACATATATTGCATTGTTCAGTCGTCTGGGCTTTGTCCTGCCGATGATATCTCTGCTTCCTACACTCAAACTATGCACGTACTGTCCAGTCGCACACCAGAGGAGTAAAATGTTTCGTTTCGTTTCGTTTTCTGACAGGCGCAAGAGGACTGCAAGTGGCGCCAGATCCCGGCGTTTGGCGACTGGAACCTGTGGGACGACATGCCCGTCACCCAGTACTTCCAGGCAGGGACCTTCTTCTTCGCCGCGCCGGCGGAGAAGGACGACGAGGATCTCTTCAAGGTGCCCCAGTTCCCTGCCAAGCCCTACAGCTACAAGAAGGTGAAAGAACACTGCATTTCTTTCATCGACTCCGTTAGCAGTTTAGCACTGTTTCATACTATTTTCATTTCAATTTTCACTTCCATACCCAGTCTGCACTAGCTATAACAAAGATACTGACGATTCTGTGGTTGATGTGCAGTGCGTTGTTCGAGTGAAGGGGGAGAAAGAAAACGCTGTGCCGGCGAGGAAGGGAGGCAGGAGGCGCTACGTGAACGAGCAGCAGAAGTGGAAGCCCAAGGGAGTTGTGGACGAGGACCTGTACAAGATTTCCCCGCAGCTTCTGTGCAAGGTGAAGAAGGCAAGTACCCTGTAATCCCCGTTTGCTCTCAGATCAGTGCGTCTCTTGTTGCACCCACGTGTAGCTAAGTGGGTTTACTTTTTATCTAGTTCTCATCATGTGATTGACATAAACCTTTATCTAGCCTAAGCTGACCCTTTGCAAGTAGCTTTTGTTAGGATAACACTAGATAGAACAGCTATATTTGTCAAAGACGTGACCTTTTTTCAAAAGCTTAAGCACTTAATTTTCACACCAATTGGAGCTTTGTCAAAGATCATGAGCGATAAAGCTGGACTGTAAATGCCAGCAAGATTTTAGGTGAGGATTTTGTTCTCATGGTCTTTTGTTTTGTGTTGCAGAAGAAGCTGCTGAGGAATTTGCTGGGAGGGTGCCTGGGTCTGAGCTGCATCGCCTGAGAGATGCAGAGCTTAATAAGTTTCTGGGGAGTTTGCTTGGTTGGTGCTCTGGAGAGTTGTATAGTGTCTACGCTAATATGGAATTAATGGAAACTTACTACTGCTTTTGCACTCGTTTGAATGTAACACTTGCATTGCATTCCATCTTTACTGGTGTTGCTTTACTACCTCACTTTTTTACTAGTACATCTTAAAGCAGTTAGGGCAAAGAGCGGTAAAAAAATCAAACAAGAATTTACAATATTATCTTATCTGATCTGATAACGTTAATTTTCTGATTCTAGAACCTACTAGGTACAAAATCAACCTTGATTAACTAATGCCCTCAGCAAGACTTGTTACGGCAAGTTCAATGATTTAGCCAAGCTTGTCTCTAAACCTATTCAAATCATCAATGTAATAGAGAAGCCATATAACGATACAACAATAGTAGTAGCTAATCTTAAAAAGTAATGTTACACTATTTCCTGGTCCTGCATCCGTCCCATTTATCTTTTTTTCTCTCTCCTTATCTCTCACACTTTACTAGGCTAGTGGCACTGGCCAATATGACAAACCTGTCACAACCTCTCGTCTCTCTCATATCCCCTCCTTCCTTCAAGACCTTATCTTGAGCCGCTCGACCTAACCTGAGACTAAAAAGTCTAACTCTATCAGCACATAAGCTGGGTTCATGCCATAATTTTCAGACAATAGTGACCATGATGCTAGGCACGAGCTATAGTCCCCCCAAAAAAAAAAAAAAAAAAAAAAAAAACTGACCCAAACACTAACGTCGGTGGCGTGGGCTAAAAATTTTGGTGTGAGGCCCAGGTCAGAACGTGAGATTTGGGCCGGAGTAAAAAAAATCTGAGCTCCTCAGCTCGTTGCAACAATGCCATTGTCCTAGTGAAAACAGAATAAACCTGTAAGTAATTCCGAGCATAGGTGTGGACCCGACGGGTCCAATAGTACTGCTACTAAGAAGGCCATGACATCAAAGTGTGGAGAGAACCAGCAAAATCTGGTGACAACATCTAGTGCGCTCAAGAGGTCCAATAGTACTGCTACTGAGAAGCAGGTGGCTTCAAATGAGGGTGAGTTGCATAAGCAGATGGATAAATAGAAGAAGGTTCGTCGTGCATAACGGTTAGATAAGCAGAATGAGGTTGCACAAGCCCATAGGCAGACAGAGAGGAGGTAACGAAATGTGGTGTCTAAATATGCAAAGGGTGCACAGGTGAACACATCCGAGTTTGATGTCAATAGAACAGCAGGGAAGGGCAACAAAAGGAGGGAGACGCCTTCAGCATGGACCAAAGCCAACCCTAAATTCAAGTATGGAGAGGCAATGATACGAGAAAAAGAGAATGACAGTTGTGGTCCTTCGTCTGTTGCCCTCCATACCTACTATCTTGCAGCTTGTGCTGAACAGAAGGTTGGAATAACGGTTAATTTCAACCCTTTCCAGTTAGGGCATACCGAGTCAGCTGATGACTTTGTGGTTGGATTTAATGACTTGTATGACCTCTTCAATCTTGATGGGCTGGACATGTCCCTTTTACGTTGCTTCTCCGTGTAAGTTGAAAGCTCCCATTTGAAATTGTTGTATATGTTCCAACCTAATTCCTTTATATATGTGCTTCTCAGGGGCACGGGGCAGCAAGGTGCTGCCTGAAAGATAGATTAGCTCATCTATGTGCATCATACGGCACCCTAGCTTCCTGATAGATGCTATTAGGACTTGGATTATATTTTGATGTCCACGCCATTAATTCATTTTCGTGTGCCAGGTGCAGAAGTTTTTATTCATTAAATTAAAATTTAGAAAACAAATCTGGTGTTATTAGGATAGGGAAACAACATACATGAATTAATTAATAAATCCCCCTTTTGTTTTGTGTTCATTCAGGTACATGGTACAAAAGGTTATGGAAGATAGCTTGTCTGTGGGCATTATGGAACCCCAGGTGTTCTTGAAATCTAACATTCGTTGCAATGAATCAGCTGTTGTGGATTATGTGAAAAGTGTGTTCAATCCTTATGCAAAGGAGCGGGATAGCCTTATAATGTTTGCCCACAATACAGGAGATCACTGGTTATTGGTGGTAGTCATCCCTAAGTGGAACAAGGTCGTGTACCTTGATTCCGACAGATCAAAACAATGACACCATTCGTCGTTGAAAGCAGTGATTAACCAGTTAGTTTGTCTTGAGTTGCATTTGGCTACTGTACACATATATAAGTGGGAAACCAGTATACATACTAACACATGTCCATGTTGCATGATTGCAGGGCTTTTGTGCTTTCAAATTACAAAAAGAAGGCAGCTAACAAGGCTCCACTTTCACATGCCACTAAATTCCCAGTAATTAATTTTGTTGTGTTGTTGAATTCCTTTTGAATCGGTACTAGTATCCACGTACTGATGTTTTCATGCATAACTTTTGCAAGTGCCACCGGCAACTCAATGACCACACTTGTGGCTTCTACACTGCACATCACATGAAGTTAGCAATGGCGGCCACAACTTGTAAAGATCCTAGGGTATGTTTGTGCGAACCACGAGGCTCCTCTCAGTGTTGATTTACTGTCGTCATACCTAAAAGGCTGTGTTTATTCTTTCTTTATATGCAAGGATTTTGAGGTGGCCAGCACGGTACTGGATAGAAATCTGTTGTTGGGAATCTGAGAAGATATTGCCTCATTCCTGATGTCGCAACTCCCCAAGGCATGAAATGAGACGGGACAATTTTATTTTGGACTTATCTGGGTTTCTTGAACATTGATTTGTGAGACATGTGCTGCAGTTGGTTACTTAAGTTGCCCCGTATGTTTATTTGTCACACTTATATGCCTCTATGTAACTGTGCACACTTTAACTGTTGTTGACCTAAAGATGGATTTGCATAAATGTATGTGTTGTATTAGTTTTATTGAGTTGGTGATATTAGCAGTTGTTTTGTATGTGTAACATACAAGCTGTGTCAGACATGCTGTACAAGAACTGGCCCGTCACTGATAGCCGTCACTTTTAATACACAGATCGGAGAGGGGTGTTGGAGCCGTCGCAATTTTTTTGTTACAACCGACTTGTTTTTAAGATTTCAGAGAAGGTGTTATACAACCGTTGCAATTTTTTATGGGTCACAATCTTAGACGGGTAGATTCCCTGTAGCTGTCACTATTATTACTTATCAGAGATGGTTCGTGTAATAACCGTCTCTTTTGTCTACTTATCTGAGACGGTGCGCACCTGTCACTACTACTGTCCACGTCACATACATAAAATTTTAGACGCTTGTCTTCAGCGTCACTAACTGACATCATGAACCGTCACTAATTTGCTTATCTGGCGTAGGGAGTACTCTAGTGCTTCGATTCAACTTTTATAAGGCCCAGTTTGGTTACCCCTCCTAAAAACTTTAGGAGCTAAAATCTGGATAAAATTTGCCTAAAGAACCAAACATCCCCTTCTAAAAGCTCATAAAAACTTTAGGAGGGGCCAAAAACTTCAGGAGCTCCACCCCCTCCTAAAAGCTCCTAAAGTCCATCCTGGACTTGGGGTACCCTCCCGACCGCACGCTCCCCCACGCCCCCGCTCCCTCCCTCCTCCACGCCGGCGCCCACCGGATCCGCTGCCCCCACTCCCTCGCGCCGCCGCATCCGCCGCCCCTGCTCCCTCGCGTCGCCGCACGAGCCGGCCGCGGCGCCCCCACTCCTCCTCGGCGCCGGCGCCACGATGTCCGCCTTGGAGAGGCCGAGCGCCGGGCCGGTGAGGAAGGCAAGCACGGCGTTCGGCACCGGCTCCGCTCCAATCTCCACCGCCGCGACGCGGCAATGTCCGCCGGCGAGGACCTCTTCGGGTGGCCGCCCGCCCACCCCCTCCTCTACCACCTCCGCGCGGCCCACCACCATGTCGTCCACCTCCGGCGGCCGCCCCGCCACTCCATCCGCCGCATTCGCGCGCCCCACCACCCCGTCCTTCCGCCGGCGGGCACCCTCATGGAGCCGGTGAGGGGGAGGCTTGAGCGAAGAAGCAATAGGTCAGGGGGAGTGAGGGGGAGGCGGATCCGGGTAGCGCGGGCGTGGATCTGGCGACGGCGGCGGCGGATCGACGGCGACGTTGCCGGAAGAAGCGGCAGCGGCGGCGGAACGTGTGTGAGGCGTGGTTGCGGCATTTGAGGAGTGGGGAGGAGACTGGAGGGAGAAAGAGAGTAGCGCCAGGGGTAACTGGGGAGGGCATCATGGTCCTTTTGCTACTGCATTTATTGTCTTTAGTTAGTTTTAGGAGGTAGAACCAAACACTTTTTTAGAAGATTTTAGAAGGCCGTCTAAAACTTTTAGGAGCTAAAATTTTAGGAGCTTGGAACAAACAGGCCCTAAGTGTATAGAAAACACCAGTAATTTTAGGAGATGAAAGTAATTAATTGATATAGTGACCTTTTAAGATGGTTTTCACCGGTGTGAAGATTTTCAAGCTACAATGTACCCGTTGATTTTTTTTTTAACTTTTAAGATGATTTGACTGTGATAGAAATAGAACGCTAGGTTGGTTGATAATAATGTCAACAAGTCAACTTAGAATTTTAAAAGTCAAATAGATTATTCAAAATAATATCATATAGTAAATTTTTATATAACACATAAAAAATCACATATACATAGAAGGCATATACATTTTGCAGAATCTAATAGAATCTCGATATATACCGGATTCTATCAATCTAGATTATAAGCTGGAAAAGTATTTTTCTCTCACACCAAATCAGCCAGCGGTAAATAATCCACGATCGTTTACGATGAAACGAACATGCTGCTACAAGATTCTACATGGGCGAGAGATGGGAGGGGCTGGCTCCATGTTACAGTCTTGCAGCTATTTACTAGTCCTGTTGCAGTCGGATTCGGATAGCGTGCCATAACTGCGAGTCTCCATGTTCGGTCTTCAAATCCAACAAGGAGAAGAGGAGTCTCCGTGTTCGGAACGGTATCGAGATACGCGCAGGCGCCGCCGCCGGGCGGATCTCCGCGGGTCCGTGTTCGTGTCCACCGCCGGTACGGTGCTCGTGCGTCTCCCTTCGTACATATATACCTTGTCCGTGTACGCGGTGGACCGGACAAGCACAATATCGCATAGCACCCGCAACGCCGTCGTACGTGTCCTAGGCTCCTAGCCAGCTGCCGGCGGCCGGCCGCACAGCCGGAGCCGAGCGACCGCGTACGCACGTAGCAGGACCACGCCGCCGCCGTACGTCGTCCATGCCGCGCGGCAAGATCGAGATGAGCCTCATCGGCGACGCACGGGATCGCGCCAAGGCCTTCGCTCGGAGGAAGGCGGGGCTTGTGAAGAAGGCGAAAGAGCTCACGAAGCTCTGCGACGTCGACATCGCGCTCGTCGTCTGCTCCGGCCTCGACGGCGGCGGCGCGCCGGCCGTGTGGGAGTCGGACCCGGGCGTCGTCATCGACAGCTACCGCAGGCTGCCGGCGGACAAGCGGGCGAAGCACACGTACCTGGACTACGTCAACGGCCAGCTGGGCAAGGAGGAGCGCAGGCTCGACAAGAAGCGGAGGCAGGGCCTTAAGGCGCTCGCGTGCCCCGGCGAGGCGGTGCTGAAGGACATGAACCTGCAGAAGCTGCTCGCGTCATCGACGCGGCGCTGCTGGCCACGGCTGAGAGGCAGAAGGCGTTGGGCGTCGCTGACAATGATGGCCAGCAGCTTGGGCAGCAGGTGTCGTCGGACGCCGTCGTGCCGGTCTCTGTTGGGCAAGGGAATGGTCCTCCGTTCGTCGGCGGCGATGACCTCGACGACATTCAGGCTTGGGTCGACGAGCTCATGTGGGACGGTGCCGAGCCGCTTCCGCTGAATAATGCCAGCATGATGCAGCCCGCGTCCGGCGTGATCCAGTACAACAACGGCAACGACGTGGACATGCTCAGCAACCATCAGTGCCAGGCGCAGATGCCGCCAGGCAATGGCGAGAACGGCTACGGTAGCCAGCTCCCATGGCACGCCTACCAGCCGGATACTACCGTCTCTTACCCTGATCACGGCTTCCCATGCACTGGCAACAACTACGGGGACATGGGCGAGTACTCAGATATGCCGGTGCCGAGCAATGCCGATGCCTACGACGGCTGGTACGATCAGGCCTGGTGGGGCGCCGACGAGTCGTCATGCGACGCCGCCGTTGCCGTCTTGCCATCGGCGGCGTCGTACCCGTCCCTGGACATCGCCGTCAATCCTGCGTACATGCCACCGCAGCACGAGCACCCCAGCATGGGCATCGGCAGCCTCATGGATGCAGGTGGCCACGAGTACGAGACGGGGTGCTTGGCTGATTACTTGCAGTGCCCGGACGCCAGCCAGCATTTTGGACCGCTGCATTACCTCAGTGATATGGCACAGGGCATTAGCTACTGTGATGATCTCGAAGCAGGCGGCTGCAGCTCTGGAAGAGCTCAACTCTTTGCTCAAAGTCACAGCTGCTCTGGGACACCACAGTTTAGTGGTTCAGAGCAGTCCCAGTCAGACGTGAACTCTGGAAGAGCTCAACTCCTTAATCAAAGTCACAGCTGCTATGGGACACCACAGTTTAGTGGTTCAGAGCAGTCCCAGTCAGACGTGGGACATCAGTATCGGGATCCAGGAGTACAGCATTTTTGGGTGATGGAAGGGCCGCCGGGTTCAACTGATGTCGCCACTGCAAGTGCCAGAGCCAGAGGGGGAGGGACATGGGCTAACAGTGGAGGTCTTTACCGACCATGGATTAAGCTAACAGGATCTGAACCTCTTGTACTAAGCATAAGCATTTGTTCCAGATGAACTCTTAATTTCTTCGTAGATCTGTCAAAGATACCGCAAGGCTTTGTGGGCCACAACCTGGTAGGTGTCGATGAAGCGAAACCCGGTTGCGATCACATTCCAGGCTTTAGTGATGTCGGAGAACTCTTCACTATTCCCAATATAGACGGTAACCTCACACCGCTCAATGCCATGCTTTTCATACTCAAGGCCCTCATACTCGGGACGATCTTTGACTCCGAGTTTTTGCAGGGTGGCATGCAGGATTCTGAGAAACCCCTCAATGTTCAGGCAGTAACTACTAACCCAGGCTCCTGCCATTCCTGGCGATGGTGGTGAGGAAGGATTGAGCAAAAAGCTTCCTCAAAGGAAAAGCTAGACGAGCTAAAGTGCACCGAGTGGTGGTATCAAGGGCTAAGCCATGCCCTGCTTATAAAGGCAGAGCGTTCAGAGGTCCTGGCGTGGTCCACCAGGGTTCCTGCGCGGGATTGCTACGAATGAATCGGCAAAATTTTCGCGCGTTCGAGGCGAGCGATGACCGAGACCATTACTAACTAGTACGACTGCAGGACAAGGGTTCGACAAGAGCGTAGAAAAGAGTACGGGGAGACGTGGGTCATGACCGGCGTGAACCACGGGCGAACGCGAAGCACGAAGCCACAGTGCAGAAATAACTCCAGAACAGAAACGAGTCAGTCATGCACAGTACGACACGCGTGACACCTATGGATGGATATCTGCAAGCAATACGGACACTACAATGCACAAACAAGATATGCATGAATGCACGTCCTATACGTCCTTCCACCGTTGCCAATATATAGGGCAACCGTTCTAAGATTTTTGGCACATCGTTCTCTCCCTGTAGGTAGTCGATACTATCAGACTATGCTCGGGGTCTGATATATAACTTCACATACAAACGTACTATCCTTTTGAAAAGAATTTGTTCTCAAATTTTATTTTAGAAAATGTTTTCGAAGCTTTATTTTCTCATTTATGCTCTGATACCACCTATGACAGAATCGTCTAATCTAATGCCTCCCAGGAGTACTCGTCTTTCATTAGACACTAAGTACCCAAGGGAGGACACCAAATTACGCGGTTCCGTCGAGCACACCCCAGGGAAGAACCCGAAAATCCATATTTTTCCGTCAGGATCACAAATGATAGAATAAAGCTTACATCCTTATTAACCATTTCTTACATCATTTTTAATACAACTCAGAGTTATGAACAATTTAATTTAACAGCGAAATATAAATATGTGATCAGAGTTACAGTGAAAATAAATATCTATTCATGACATGATGAAACATTGATATATAAATTATGACAACATATTATAAAACTTCTATTTAATAAAATATTTAGTGAGAATTATAAATAAAAACTATGATCGCAACGTAAAGGAATTCTCTCTGAGTCCACCAGGAGGAATCCGCACACAATGGTCAGCTCTAGCATCCACCTGTCACCTGCAACAGGGGAAAATAAGCCCTGAGTACCCGAGTGTATTCAGCAAGACTTACCCGACAGGAGAAAAGAAAAAGACTCCAAAGATATGTAAGGCTATCTGGCTTGTGGGTTTATTGCATCTGCAGGAGCATTACTAAACGTGCGTCCTTATATTCAATTTTTTTAGCATTCATCATTAGTTCATTAACTAACCATTCTATGTAAGCACATGTGCTACTTTCGAGCAGTTAGTAAGCGATCAGAATCATTTTATCATCTTTTATCTTTCAGTTCTTACTATGTTGCTAGAGTGTAGACAAGTCGTATCGGATCGTCCGGCGATTCGTGAATCAATGTGTCCAGCTGGGTACCCTGAAACACACGCCCCGCTTGTACCTCAGGCACAAGCAAGACCAACCCACTACCCTCCTGTCACGGGGTCCTGGTCCCCGTCTAAACTTGGACTCCAAGCCCCCGCCCCTAAGTCTTGGACTCAGTGCGGTGCTTCGACCTCCACCCAAAAACCACCCTGAAAGTCGGTCCGAAAAGAGCCAGAATTCATGACAAGAGAGTAACAAGTCTTCCCGCGCCCATACATATGTATGTGTTCAGAATAATAAGTCGGTGACTTGCCTAGAGTCCAATGCAACGACCGGTCCTTAACCGACACAGACAGGAAACCGTATAATCAAGCTATGCCTCGTTGGCCGCAGGACACAACCTCTTACACCCACCAATACCCAAACTATATCCCTGCTCGGTCTCCATTTACCATTCATATATATATTCCAAATAATAATAATATAGTAACAACAATAATATATTTCCTATCTCTCGTGAGTGACAGATAAGCACTCGACTTCTACCAGAGTTCTATAGCATAGCAATCTACACGATCCTGTCATATATGCAAGTGGGTTTCACCCAACTCCTTAAACTTAAAGCACAAATATAATTTAAAAGTGTAAAAAAGTATGGGTTATGCACCGGGGCTTGTCTGGGTAAGATATATACTAAAAAGTTAAGCATCTGCATCTTCGAGATCATCCACCATCATGTGAATAGAAAGCCCATTACATCATCTCGTGGAGAGAATACCATTACACCATCTTTAGATTGCTAATCACCCTTTAATTGATCCATTGATCCATCATCGTACCTATATGATATGCATTGATGCAATTGATACAACAGATAATTAATAAGGCAACAACAACTCTTAAAATAGAGTACATACTACGAACTAACAAGCTAGCCCTAATAACTAACGTACTAGTCTACGCATCAATATCGTCGAAAAAGGTGTCATTTCCCAACAAGTGCTATAGTTATAAAATTCTAAAGTGTTTCTTTATTTTATTTATTTGATTTACTATATATTCAAACTATGGCTCATTTGCTATCATAGCAATTTAATTTTTCTGCGGCTGCAAAAATTACAGTGGACACCTAACCATATGATGAACCTACCATAAAAAATTCATAGCATTCGGACTAAAGGAACTAATTTAATGAATTACAACAATAATAGATTAATTTTTAAGGCAAATTATTTTGCACTCAAGCATATGATTTTATGTGTTCACGGTAGTACAATCTATGTAGAGTTCAACAAAATTAGATTTATTATTTTACGATTTTTATTTAATTTATTATGAATTTTACAAGTTTAAGCTATTTTAAACAAAAACTAGAAAAAGAAAAGCGCACCTGGGCCGGCTTCGGCCAGCGCGGCCCACGCTGGGCGGCCAAGAGGCCCAGGCACACGTGGCCTAGCCAGCCAGGCAGGCTGCCCATCGGCGCTCACGCGGCAGCGGCCCATGGCCGACAACGTCCCACGCGGCCAAGGCCCAGAGGGGCGCGGCACCAGGCCCTAGAGGGGCGTCGAGCAGGCCACGACCGCGGAGGCGCAGGGCGAGCGGCCCAACAAGCCGGCCCACACGGGAAACCCAGCGGCAGCGACACCAACTTGCACCGAGGCCCTCTTACTTTTACTTAATCCACCCGCAGGACATTAGCACTATTCATGTAAGTCACGAAAAATTACATTGAGGACCCTGAAAAAGCTCCTATTCTAATACTCACCCTTCTCTCCCTCCTCAAAAGCAGAGCACAAGCAGGGGAACCGACCGCGCGGCCGAATTCGGCCTTGAGGTCGCCGACGGCGGTGGGGAGGCGACATCACAGCATTCCCGCTGCGGGGCGCACCCGCTGGTGGACGCGGCTCGGCTAGAGCTGGAGCGTGGAGCCCCGGCCACATGCATCAGCTCTCGGGACCGGGCGGCTCCGCAGTGAGGGCGCGCCGATGATGAGGTGGTGGTGCGGGGGCGACGCGGGGCTCGGGCGTGCTCGCGCGCGCAGTGACCACTGGCACGGCCGCACGGGAAGCGCGGCACGGCGACAGCGCGCAGAGGAGGCTCGGCCAAAGAGGAGGGCGTGGCCTTGAGTCGGTTCCCGACGAGGTCTTCCACGTGGCGATGCGGTGAGGTGAGGCTAGGGACTCGGCTGCACTTGCGCGTGCAGTGGCTGGGCAGCGGTCGCAGATGCTTACAGGAGGTCGCTCGGAGCAGCGGCGTCGACGGTTGGCAGCAGAGAGAGGGAGAGCGGATGGAGCCATGCGCACTCGCCACCAGCATCTTAAACACGGCGTGGGGCAGGGCGCCCTGGCACAACGTGGCCGACAGGGGCAACATGGCGCGACGCAATAAATTAGAAGACTGATTCAGAGCAGGGGGATGCACCACCGTCGTCAAACTAGCGCATAGACAGGATGACTCAAACTTGGTGGGACGCTCTCGGCGGCAGTGGAACAGCAGGCGCACACCGAGTCGCCACGCGGGATCAACGACCGCAGCGTGACGAGACAGCGAAGGCAGCCAGCTCCTCCGTGGTTAGGTGGGTCATGCGGTGGGCGAAGCACCACGTCGGCTGGCAGGTAGTGCACGCGGCGACCGTAGGTCGAGCCGTTCGACGGTGAGTAGTGATGCGCACGAATTTAAAAGAGACGCAAAAACCGCGGATTAGCTTGCTAAGATCCAACCAAAATGCACTACCCTAGAGTTGACACTACCATCTCCCCAACAAAGCAAACCATACGACCAGAAGATGACCAGCGAGAAGGAAAAAGAGGCGCCAAGATAGACTGGTCGCGCAGAACGTCGGTTCACGGATAGAGCGCCACTAACATGGTTAACATGTTCAAAGCAAAATGGGGAAATTTTTACGAGAGCATCGTGACTTCCAGACCAACCACAACCTACACCGTGTTCAAGTACACATCTTGATGCAACCAGTCGTGCAAAAACATAGATATATTGTCTAACCAGTTTTGTTGGAATTTAAGTGTCAAATTGGCATTGTCTAGAATTATTTTCCAAAACAAGCCCTAAACAACTTTTGTCCACAAGATTATTTAAAAGTTGTTAAGCACCGAGACAAGTTGACTAGCGACACTTATTTGTTTGTTTTATTTCCGAAAGCGAGTCACACAAGATTCGTTTATAATTCCATGCGTGCTTTAACTTTTAACTCAAAATTTTGTTTGGCTAATTTCTCTTAGGCATTAACCTAGGCGCTAAGCGAGCTCGTAACACCAGAGGTGTTACACCATGTGGCCTGCGCAGCGACGGTGATATGGAGGCCGCACAAGGGTTGCGCGGCGATGGCGGTGCGGAGGCCGTGCATAGGCTGCGCAGCGGCAGAGCGGAGGCTGCGAGTTGGGCGGCGGCAGCCCCCGGTAGGATCTGCAAAGGAAGGCCAGATCCGGTGGATCGGAGCCCAATTCTGGCCCTACTGACCTGGTGGTGGCTCGGAGGCCTGTGTGGCACGGTGACGTGCGGCGATGGTGCAAACGGCCGTGCGAGAGGCATCAACGGCGCGGGTGGCGATAGCATTGCGGCGAGGCGGCGCGCCCACCGTGCGTGGAGGGCCAATGAGTGCGGGGATTTTTACGCACGACGCATGGTGGCCACGGGCACAGAGGCACGTAGGCCTGTGGTGGCGTGGCATGGTGACTGCGATGGCAGCTGCTGCAAGTTGCTGTAGTAGCATGGTGTGGCCGCGTTGGCGTTGGCGGTTGGGTCGAGGAGGGTGGAGGCCATGTTGAGGACTCGAGGTGTGGGTGTTCAGGGTTGCGGAAGGCTGTCGGGGAGAGGGTGTTGGCGCAGCAATTGGAGGGCAAGGCTTCTGCATGGCAGTTGAGGGCGATGGTTTGGTGGAACCGTGCGCCGGTGGTGTCCGCGAAGTTGGCAAGGAGGCCGGCGCAGGAGGAGGTGGCCAATAGAGATGTGTTGCTGAAGTGGCCTGCGTGGTGTGATGGTGAGCGATCCCGCATAGCGGTGGCCGTTTCGGCGCAAGGAGACCCTTTGTGGCAGTTGGAGGCCCCATATTCGTCTTGCTATCTTCGGGGAAGCAACTTGGTTACCGGGAGCTACGGTGTATGCACTAGATCTCGGTGGAAATGGACAGCATGTGGATGACCAAAGGCAGCTACTCATGTGTCGGGGTGATGGCTTGCAGCGGACTGTGGCGGCTAGCCATGCGTGGCATGGGCTAGTCCGGCATGGGACAACGTCAAGTGATGGCGCAACAGTTCCGATGGTATGGTAGCTACACAACTTGCAGTGACCTATGGCGGCCAGCCCTGCATGGCAGTGTCTGGCTCGGTATGGGGCATCGTCTGTAAAGATGGCGCAAGCGGTGACGATGGCTTTTCGACGTGCTGCCTTGATCGCCCAGCAACAGTGGCACAATGTGGCAACTGGCTGGCGTTGGATTGGCATTTGCTGGTGGTGTGCTTCAGCGGTGAGGCGGTGTTGTGCCGCGCATTGAGGCCTTTTTCCAACCGGTTGTTGTGTTGTCGATAGATAATTGCTTTTAGTTGTTGTGGTAGTTCCTTAGCTCCGTTGCTTTGTTGTGGTTTTTACCCTTCGGGTTGGTTGTTGATACGTTGTACTGCTCAATCTAAGCTTCTTGTTTTTAATATAATCGGTAGCTCTCCTACCTGATTCGTTTTAAAAAAATAGGTTCTATCTATTTTGGGGGGAAAGCCGGAAACTTGTAACCAAGCAGCTGAGCTTGGAGATCCGGAAAATTTGTACGGAGTACAAGTATAATAACGAAATGCAATTTGATGAAATTATTACATCATATCAAAATTACATTCAGTTCCTGCCATCCCGTTCGCTGGTCTGAAACTTGCTGAAAAACACTGTTCCCGCTAAATCATTGTGAGAGAAAAATATTGTTCCGGCTGAAAAAAGAAGCCGAACAAGCCGAATATGGGGTAAGCCGAACAGGGCCATATACGACGAAAAAAGTAAATATGATGAATTCAACAGATTTTTTTTCAAAAAAAATAAACAATTTCCTTTGAACTCATACCAAATTGTCAGGTTTTGGTTTTGACGCAGTATGGTTTGACGACATAAGCCTGTTCGCTGCAGCAGCTGCTGCTGTTTACACAGTAGCGTGTGAGAAGCAGCTGCAGCAACAGCCACAGCAATAGCCGCTTATAAGGGCTTCCGAGCTTTTGCCAGTACAACCACTGCACAAATTACCCGACTGCCATTCGCGACCACGGCCGCCGCTCGCCAGAAGGCCAGAATGACGCCTCGGGTGCTCCTCTCCCGCCTGCGCCTCGCCCCTCTCCTCCACGACGGCCACCACCTGCGATGCCCTCTCTCCGCCGCCGCTGCCAAACTACCTGATGAGTTGCCTCCTGGCGCGCCGCCTCCGACCTCCGACTCCAGGCTCTTCGTCGCCGGTACCGCTCTGCTCTCCCGCATCCGTGTCTGTCTCCCATAAGATTCCCGATTGCAATCATAGCTCTCACCGTACTACGTTACTGTTTAACGATTGCGGGTGCAGGGTTGTCGTGGTCCGTGGACGAGCGCTCCCTCACGGACGCCTTCTCCTCCTTCGGCACCGTCACCGAAGGTACGAAACAGATTCGCGCACTGGAACGGCACTGTTACTAGGAACTTATTAGGAATGTCCAATTTGGTTGTGTTTAATAACCTCTGCGCGTTGGGTTTTTTTGGGTTCGGTTCGAGGTCAGATGGTGCACGGGGTAGGTGTTCGGCCAAATGCCGTGGAGACCGTGAGCCACTCCATCGTGCCCAGGCCCGCAGCCTGTTCGACGAAATTCCTGTTAGGGACGTGGTCACCTGCTCAGCAGCAATCTACCGGCATGCGAGGAGCGGGTTGTTTCATGAGTCAGCTGGGCTGTTTGTCGGCATGATGAGGGCAGGTGTGTGCCCAAACTCGTTCACCTTGGTCGGTGTGTTGCTTGCGGCAGCTGGTCTGGGTGATGTTGTGCTTGCCGAGTGCATTCATGGGTGGGCTGTAAAGAGTCAGTTGGAATCCAATCATTTTGTTGCAACCGCACTGGTGGATGCATATGCAAAATGTGGGCGCCCCATGAACGCATTGGCGTTTTTCAGCGGTTTGAGGGATCCTAATGTAGTTTCCTGGAACGCGATGATCTCCGGGTTAGTGCACAATGTTTTGTTTGAGGAAGCAGTATTGGCGTTCAAGAGGTTGTGTTGTTGTTTTGGGTCAGTTCCTAATAATGTTGTGACCGTGATTAATGTCGCTCAAGCGTATGCTGGTTGTGGTGACCTTGGAATGTGCAAGAGTGTACATGCTTATGCAGTTAAGATCGGCTTTGATTTGGATGTCTCGGTGACAAACTCAATACTTGGCATGTACTTGGGTTTTGGGGACATTGAGATTGGAAGAGAGATTTTCAGGAAAATTATTGTTCGGAATGTGGTTACTTGGACAATGATGATGGGTTTCCTTCTTGAGCAGGCGCATGCTAGTGAAGTTATAAATATCTTTGTTCAGATGAGGTCAAATGGCATAGTTCCTGACAGGGTAGCAATGGTCAGTTTGGTGCAAGCTTGTGCACTTCTGGGTGATGCAAGGAGAGGAAAAATGGTTCATAACCAAATGATCACCCGTGGGTTTAGTAGTGAGCTTCCTGCAGTTAATTCATTAATCACTATGTATTCCAAATGCAAGGATTTAAGTTCCGCTAGAGTGTTGTTTGATGGAATGAGGAACAAAAGCTTAGTTTCATGGACTGCAATGGTTTCAGGGTATATAGGAAGTGGAAGAGCCCTAGAGGGGATGCATCTATTTGGTAAGATGAGGCGTGAAGATATTTTTGTGATTGATTCTGTGACATTAGTCAGCTTATTGACTGGATGCTATGAGACTGCTAAGTTTGATCTGTGTGTTCAACTTCATGGGTATAGCTACAAGTCAGGTTTGTATCTGTATAGACCTGTCCCTAATACCCTCATGGCAGTTTATGGTAAGTGTGGATATGCCAGTTTAGCTCATAAAGTATTTGATGACATGATTTCTCGAGATGTTGTCTCGTGGAATACCCTGATATTATCCTATGGTATAAATGGCCAAGGAGAGCAAGCAGTAGCACTTTTTAATGACATGGATGAATCTAGTGAAGAGCGAGACAGTGTAACATACTTGAACACAATGCTGGCATGCAGCCATTCTGGACAAGTTGATGATGGGTTGATCATATTCAGGAGAATGATTAATGAGAAACGCGTAAATCCATGCCAGGAGCACATTGGATGCCTAGTAGATATGTTGGCAAGAGCTGGTCGCTTGGATGAAGCAGCAGAAGTGGCTAGCTTGACTAGCAATGAGGGAGCAAATCCTTGGAAGGCTTTGATGGGAGGAGGTCACCTGCATAGTCACACAGAATTAACTGAAGTTGCTGCTGAGAAGGTGCTGAACGCGGACTCATTTGATAATGGTCATGTTGTGTTACTTTCTAATGCTTGTGCATCTGCTGGGAAGTATAGTGATGCTGAATCTATCCGATCCTGTTATTCGAAACAAACACAAAAGAAGATTCTAGGGCTTAGTTCCATTGAGGTTATGCTATCCAGCACAAGATAGCCACTATACTTCTTGCAATGGAAGGGAAAAGATACATGAGACAATTACCATACACTATCTGTCTGTCTCAAAGTATTGGAGATCTGTTTTAGGCATGAAAGATGGAGTTTTACTTTGCAGACAGCCAGGTCCCATGTGATTAAAAGTGAAACATCAAGAATGAGGCTTCAGATATCACATTTGTTGCATTGGTCTTTATATTGTGATAGACTAAGAGTTTTTCATCTTGATTCTAGTATGGTTGAATCAGGAGCCTTACGTCATGTGAGTATGGTGTTTATCTGGTGGTATTCTGACCCAATAGAAAACTTGTTGACTACACCATCAGTTCAATTGCATCTGTCATTTTGTGTTTCCTTACTACTTTTACCTTGGAGTACTAACCATATCTGATCTGTATCAATATCCTCCTCACTATATCCACTCTTTGAATACAATCATTTGCTGATTGTGAACATGATACAGCCTATGGTCCATGCTTCATTGCAAAGAGTTGGCACAAAGCCTGAGATAATCTTAAGTACTTGACTTTTGAAAAATATATTATGGTGCATCTGATCCATGTGACAATGTAACATTTTACTTGAAGTAGTGCCTAGGAAATTGCAAAAAGATAAGGTCGATTTTACTTGAAATATTTTATGAAATTTGTGCCTCATTTGTGCAGCCCTAGATCACGTTTATTGCAAGAGTGCAAGTTTCTGCCATGTTTTGCATCTTATTTGTTTGTCCCTATTTTTTTTTTTGAGGCAAAATGTCTGTCCCTATTTATCAGGCACTTAAAAGTTTATTGGATGTTTGTTCATGAAACTAATTGTGTGATCACACCCTTGTTTGAAAGTTTTTCACACTAACATCGTGTATGTTGCTGTGCTATTAGCCTACTACCAACAAAACCATAGTTAACAATGTTGACGCTAAAATAGCAACAGCTAAGAAGTGTTATGGTTGTATTACTCCAGGGGTAGCTATCATGTCATGGCTACACATGCATTCTGGCTATTGTTTCTCTTCATCTGTGGTATGTGATTATAGGTTAACCTAGTCAGGGGTTTACTCTTCCATTTCATGGCAGTGTTCATATACTTGAAAACCAATAGGTCAAGTTATTTTTGTGTTTACCTGGTGTTGAGCTAGTGCGATAAGAAATAACTTTTTATGCTTTTGGCCTATTTGCCCCCACGAATTTTTACCAACTTTGTATTTATAAGGTTTAAATAATTTAGTTATAAAAGGACCTTTTGCTTTGCAGTTAGAATAATGTATGACAAAAACTCTGGAAGATCAAGAGGCTTTGGATTTGTTAATTTCTCAAATGATCATGAAGCTAAGTGTGCCAAGGATGCTATGGATGGGAAAGTACAGCCTTATTCTTTCAAAAACATGTCAGTTATTGCAGTTAGAAATGAAGCATTGACCTATATTAATTCTACAGGTAATGCTAGGGCGGCCATTGCGAATAAGTTTTGCTCTTGGAAAAGTCCGTGGCGCATCAGTTATTGTTCCTCGACTTTCTACGGTGAGAAAAAAAAACTAGCAATGACATGTTCGTTCACTTCGTTACCGGAAACCGAAGCACGGCTATTAACAAGTTGGTCTTTAGAAATATTGCTTCTACTGGCCTTTTGTCATCTGCATATATAAAATCTTTCTAAAAGTTAAATTAAATCTGTGGAAATTGTAAAAATTGAGTTTCTTGCCTCTTGTTCATAGACCGACCCTCAGTTCAGTTGCTTTTTTTTAAAGTTGATCTGCTTGTATTGGCCCTACACTCCTACAGAAGCTTTAGAAGCTAGCTTGAGAGTGATTGATGCTAGGAGTGTTAGCAACTGGTTGGAAATGCCGCACTGAGACAGGCTACAGTTGTATTTAGAAGAAAAAAATTAACCGTTTGATGGCTAAACAACTGCTGAGTAATCAACAAACTGCTTGCTGTTTCATGTTCTCTCAGAATTTATTTTCCTTTTTTATTTCTTTTCGAGAGAGATCTACTTGCATTTTGTATTTAGGTATGTGATACTGTGAGCTGTGATAGGCGGCTACCCATACTGTGCGTACTCACCTAAAAATATTAAATTCGAAACCTGATATAATTTGGCAATTTACTTCTTTAGATGTTCACAGTATCGGGTTATATGTTACCGCAGCTGACTGCTTTGCTCAATTACTTCCTGTAACTGTCAGTTATGATTAGTTGTATGAAGTATGAACCCTGGTCCCAAGTACCAATGCAATATACAGGAAATCTAATACTATATGCAGTGAAGTCCGTGAAGAAATTGGTGCATTGCTGTGCTTATGTGTTACACATATTACATGGAGCCTTAGCTTCTACTCAAGTATGAAAGACTTCATTGAATTTATATATACTGTCACACACTTCATGAAGTTCCAATATAATAGACCTTATATATTGTTGTTGTTTGGATAATAGACCTTATTTTTTATTTTATTTTTTTGAAAAAGTTTTGTTTGGATAATGAAGTTAAGTTACCATGACTGGCTGAACTGTAATTCACTTGTTCTTCTCTAACATTCACAAGATACATATTACTATAAAGCATCTTACAACCTGAATATCAATTATCACTAAATCTGGATAGTATATAAATTACCCTTGAAAAAAATCATTTTCTATGCGCCTCTATCTATGTAGCTTCTTCTTTGGCATGACTTTTGATGGACTCTTCAGCATGGAGAGACATGACCTTATATTTATAGTAGCTAGAACATACAAGGAAGTAGAAAAGGTTCAGTGCTCCCAGTCCCAGGATGACAATAAAATGATAGTAAAAATCAAGTTTGCCATTGTTAATATTGTCTGTTAACCCACTTGTGTGGCCATATCTGGCGGCAGTGTTTTAAAGGCGGCTAGGCGTCCAGGCGAGTGCTGGGTACGCCCGCCTAGGCGACGCCTTTAAAACACTGTCTGGCGGTAACCTTTCTTGTGATGTTTACCAGCGGCTCAGTGCAGTACACAAATAGTTTGCTCTGGCTATAGCCTATAGCACAGAACAATAGGTATATGATCCTGCATTCCTGCTAGAGATTGCATATGCTCTGGAAACTGCTTATTATAAAGTTCTATTTGTCCAACTATGATGAAGGCTCAACAATATCCCATTAAAACCAATTGGGGTGCAAGCCGCAAAACTGTCATAGGTGATATACCTCCATGAGACAAAGCTGAATTCCTCCTTTTATGCTCATCAAGTTCTGCTACCACCATAGAAATAGGAGAAATTACCAATCTCACACCTTGTTTCTGTAGAAGTGTAATTCCACCTTCCAGCCAAGTGAATTTTCTAGCAAGAGGTACCATAATTCGGTCGTAGATGGGGATGACCACAGCTAGGGTGATAAGGGATATGGATGTAACAGAGCCTGCAGGAATTTCAAAGTGTGGGCATAGGTGACAGTCCATGGTAAATGCTTTCAATATTATAAAGGTGTATTGTTGAGGCATTGTAACAAACATAATATTCCAGAAAAATAAATAGGCAAAATAATTACCAAACATTTGACTTCCTCTGTTTGCTGGATATTGCAAATTTCCCATGAGTTTCTTGCAGAACCCTCATCGTTTATATCACCATCTCGCATAATTGCACCTTTGTTCAGAAACCTGAGATGAATGGAAATTGTGATACACCAGATAATCCTAGCATATTCACAGCTTTTCTTTTCACTTCATTCAAGCATGTATGACAGTCCACATCCCTGCTTGCATAGAACATTGTCTATTCTCTATGTTGCCTGTATGTTATTTGCCTTTAAATGGATATTACCAATTTGATTAGCTCAGTCCGTTCAAGACTTCAAGTCCTCTTTGACTCGAATTTTGGTGCCAATTTCTTCTTATTTACAGTGCCACATAGTTCCTCCTAGACTGGTTGAGATTTTTCTTTTAATATCCTCAACTAACGAATGTTATGTCAGTTTGTTAATCAGACAATTACCCTTGCAATTAGGATATACGTAATCATTGTTAGCGAAATATCCAGCTGTACAATAATTCCAGCTTGTTAGAGTGCGAGCAAATATTATAATGTAGCCTCAATCATTGACAATAAATTTTGCTTGGGAGAATCAGGTTTGCTTTTTGGAATATTTTAGTATGAAACATATTTTCAGATATGTTCGATAGATTCATTGTGGCTACTGGCTAGTTCTTTTTGTGCATGTACTGATATACAGTATTCGCTAGACCTAGTCAAACCTTTTATATCTTTCCATACTGTTGCTCATATATGGGGGCAGGGTGATACATATTTCACCTAAATTGTAAAGTGGCAGTCTGAAAATGCGGTTGCCCCTTGTGGGAGGGTTGTACAGCATCAGCATTGTACAGCATCAGCACTTGTCATGAGGGCATGGAAACTTGAGTCTTCTCTTTTAAAATGATGCCACAAAGTTGCACAATTCCAGAGAAGATGCTTCCCTCTGGTGGTACATGGACATAAAGTCTGGCACCAGCTGATGTTGGTCTGGACGTGGGTATGCCAAATCCTAGTGCCCAGCTGAGGGTCTGGATGTAGAAGACAGTCATAGATAATACCAGGGCAGCGGTACTTGTGCTATAGTACCAGTTATAATAGCTATATAAGCCCGTTCGATTTCTTTTATCAGTCTGATCCAATTGGTCTACTCCGAAAGGTAAACTGCATGACCGGATTGCTCCACCACCAATAGTTAGGAGCCCTAGGGAAAGGTATAGCACGCCCAGCTGATGTTGATCTGGATGTATATGACAGCCATAGAGAATACCAGGGCAGCGGTACTTCTGCTATACAAGTACCGGTTATAATAGCTATATAGGCCCTTTCGACTTCTTTCATCAGTCTGATCAAATTGGTCTAACTCCAAAAGGTAAGCTCATGGCTGGGGATGGCTCCAGCACCAATAGTTAGGAGCCCTAGGGAAACATATAGCACGCACAGCTGGAGTGTTGCTGAACTATTGCAGTGTCCTACTTGGGATATTTGATTGCATATTGGCGGTTTAAGAGCAGGAAGTGACACAGTCAAAGTCACTCCTAGTATCCCCTGTTTTTGTTGGAAATAAACACATTGATTAGAAAAGAAGCAATGCACAACTCCATCTACTATTAATATTTCAAGCATTTATTCTTTTGAAAAAAGAAACTCGGAGTGCAAAATGTGCAATCCAGCTACATTATGCATCTTGACGTGAAAGAATCGAATTGTGTATCATATGCTTATTTGCACTTAAGAATCTACATGAAACACTGTAGGATGCAGCATGGTAGGCATGAGCATGAATGGATGCATAGGGTGGCTGTAGCATGATTTTTCTGGCAAATATGTTGACCTATGGTCTGTGACTCCTTACAGCATCTTGGACCAGTAAAATACCATCAGCGGCTATATCAAGTTCTGTGAACTAATAGAACCGACTTAGTCTAATCTTTTGCCTAGGATCCTTGTGCTTGTCATTTCGTTTTATTGAGCCTTATGCTAAAGATGACAGCTGATTTTCCGTTCCATTTTGTGTTGACGAGCAGGTGAAATGAGCAGAAGCCTTGGTCGTGGCATGGACTGAAGGACATAATACCAGGAGGGTTGCGTAGCACCCATAGGATATTGGTTTTGAACCTTCCAAACTAAAAATCAGAGATGAAGGCACCTAGCAATGGCGTGAAGTTCAGGGTGGCGAAGATGACGCTGTTGGTTATGTTTGTCGCCTTGAGTTGCTCGATGTTGAAGGTTTCACGAGATACGTTGTCAAGTTTGCAGCCGCCCCGAATGAGGCCACCTTTTCGAATGTCTCGTTTGCTGCATCCCAAAAGAGTGCCATTCAAGTTTTTCCAAAAAAAAAAGAGTGCCATTCCGTATACACACTCTTCTTGAATTGATTCTCATGTAAAGATGTGGTGGCAACCGTCACTGCTCACTAGTAGTATACAAGACAGTTACAAACTGGCATGATTCTTCATATCGAAGTGCTACAGCCTATATATTTGGAATGGAGGGATAACCGTCCTTTCTGGCTGCAAACCAAGGGGCGGCTGCCTGCCTTGCGTACTAGTCGTGTCGTCTCGGAGATAGCAGCAGCAGACCATGGGTGAACCTGAGCGAGAAGCCTGTTGCAGCCGTCCACATAGATAGAGCGTGTCCTTTGCGTGGACGTTTTTAGTCCTGTCACGCGCTAAACGTGGCCCTGGCCTCCGCCGGCATGTCGCGTGTGATTGTGTGCTTCGGGTCTCGGAAGCATCCGCAAAGCTGTGCGCGAAAGGTGCATGCGCACAAGGAGTAGACCGTGAGCACTGAGCCGGATTGTTTGCTCAGTGGACAAGTGTGAGCCGCTACCAGTTGGGCCTGCAGCAACGATTGGACTCAGTGTCAGTGAGGCGACTCATGCATAAGACCTTATAGGCTTATACGTCTTGAACACTGGGACAGTACTGGTTGACAAACACAGATCAGTTGGTACTTATGCGAAACAATAACGCTCACTCTATCAAGAGATAATATAAAAAAAAACTCCACATATTATTGTTTTAATCTTATTTTAAATACAGTTTAAGCATCCTATAAGATTGAGCCGATGAATCTCAAGATTAACAGCGCCACCACAAGTGTCTTAATGTCGATGGGTAGGTCGTCTACTATTGAAATAACAGTGCCGCTAAGGACTCAAATTTAGGTAGACAAGTTTTACCATAAGAAACCTAACCAGACAATGTATATAGATTCCAAATTCACAAATTATCAACGGATAATTTATCACTGAATTAATAGTGTCGTTTCTCGCTGTCCAGAAAAATGTGAGCGTTGATTGCGAGTGGACGGGTAGGGCATCCTTAACCAATCCTGCTGTTGTATCTGATGGATTCTCTCGCCGTCACATTTGTTTTGGGACTGCAAGTGAGTGGCCGAGGGCGATTCCAATAGGAAATCACAACCGTCATGACTTTACCTAAAGCCATGTTCCATGAATGTTGAGTGCTCCTTGTTAATAAAAGAATACGGCCGGCAAGCCATTATTAGAGATCTTTCGAGAACAAAGCCACGCATGTCCCATGACACGGGCAAAGGGTAAAAGGCGCCGTCGTACGTCTAAACTGCATGCTAACAGCGAACAAAATCAGTGTAATCAAGCGAGATATATAATGCCTGCAAGCTTGGTGTGCCTCCTGTTGCATGCATCCATCATGACGCGTGTATGCATGACAGCCGCCGCCTTATACATCTAGAGTCTGTTTGTTTGAGCTATAGTTTTTGACTTAGGCCTTGTTTAGATTGAAAAAAATTTCAACCCGATGAATAGTAGCACTTTCGTCTTATTTGGTAAATATTGTCCAATCATGAACCAACTAAGCTCAAAAGGTTCATCTCGTGATTTCCAACTAAATTGTGCAATTAGTTATTTTTTTACCTACATTTAATGCTCCATGCAAACAGCTAAAAATTGATGTGATGGAGAGAGAGTGAAAAAACTTGGAATTTTGAGGGTATCTAAACAAGGCCTTAAAAGTTAGCTTTCTAACCCTCTACTTTTTATTATTGACTTTTGTAATAAATTTTTAGCTTCTCAGCGTTCCAAATCGGAAAAACTCCTCTCAATATGCTTTTCAACTTTTAACTTCTCAGAAGTTAGCTTTCTAGCTTTTTAAAGTCAGCTCAGCAGCTAAACTGTTTGTTTCGGCTTCTGGCTCTAGCAAAAAGTTGAAACAACTAGCCCCCCCTAATCCTCGATCAAGCTTTACACTACACGTCCCTTAACAAGCTCATTCGCTGGTGATTAGTTAGTAGAGAGACTGATGTGGCTAAACTGTGGGACCCAGCAAGGGACTTTGCCGTGTGCTCTAAGGGTGTGTTTAGTTCGTTGGATCTGAATGAAATTAGGTGTGAGATAGACGACGGTCTAGCTTTTAGAGTTGTTTGTTTCCAAAACAGAGTCCATCCATATACTGTAGCGCATGTTCTGATAATGCTGGATGAGCTTAGCCTACCCAACAGAAAATTGCCGAACCAGGTCATCCATCTTCACTAACCTTAATCACTAGTAAAGGTTAGTATCAGATTGTCTATGAGGGCAAGACAGCATGCAGAGGAGAGACGGCTGGATCACGGGCGAACACGTACTCCGTACATCAGGTCGTCCATTTCCATTGGAGCTGGATCGCCAACTCGATCCATGCAGGAAAGTTTCATCAGATATTCAGATGAGTCGCCTGCCGCATTCATGCACAAGCTGCTGCCGCTACGACGATGGACGGAAGACTGTGCTGTGCAGTGCAGTGGGCCTCCATCCATCTTTATAATAGGTCGACATGATCATTGCTCGCACACAACTTGGTGTACGCCCCGTCCTTGCCTCTCCTTGGCATGGCAATGGCATCCATGATCCATGCATGCATCACCGGCCCGTCGAGTGTGTTTCACCAACCCTGAGGTGACGTGACCCCGTAGTCTCGATACTTCAGTCTCAATAAAAGCTCGCCTCAACAGACAACGTTGCGAGCAGCGCGCAGCGCGCAACTCAAAGACCGGCCCAAGTACCTAAACGACAGGCCGGAAGGACGATCCGATCTCCGACCGGAAGGCCTAGCTGATCGGAGCGCTCGCTTCGGTCTCCAGCCCGCCTCCGGACGGCCTCTCCGACCGGAAGGCCTGGTCAAACACCACTTCCGACTCTGACCCGCTTCTCCAACCAGGGATGCACTGAACCCCTGCTTACAGCTCCTCTCCGACTGACGCAATCAGAGCCGGCTGGGATCAACCGATCGAGGACGCCCGCTTGGTAGGGACCAGGAAACAGACGGAGAAAGTAAGGCATGGCACTTAAAGTCAACCGTAATACCGAGGACCATATCTTATACACCTACAGGACAGTACCCTGCGACCTCCCTGACACGGCGGAGCCTGAGCAGTGTTGTAGGCGCTGATATTTTTCCCTACAGTGTTGTAGGCGTCATCAACTCCCATACCAGATAAATACGGTAAGGCTCCCCCACGTGCCTCTGAGGCATCGACAGTGTTGTGAGCGCCGGCACTTACCGTAGCAGGCGAACACGGTAAAACCCCTCACATGCCTCTGGACATCAACAGTATAGCAGGTACTGACATCTGCCATACCTGAACAAGAAGACGTAACCTCCCACGTGTATCTGACATTCAACAATATTGTGGGCGCTTACAATCATCTTGAACCCGTCGACATGGGCAGCAAAACTTAGCAACAAATGTATCCTCTCCCTCTCACTTGTAAGGCCATCCCCTTTATCTATAAAAGGGGATGCGCTCTCTTCCAACAGATAGATGGATTCAGGTCGATCAAGTTCACTAGTACACAGCAACAGAACCACCAGGTTCAAACCTCGAGCACATGCTTGAACACATAGCGTATAGCGGAGTTCTCGTCACTCTCGGTCCCTCTGACCAGAGTCCGACCGGACCTCTTTACCCCCATCTTTCTCCTTCTTGTTTGTAATCCCACTACAAACTTCGAGCACCTGGGCTTAGGAATAAAGTCACCGACCAACTCAAACTGGACGTAGGGCACGTTGTCTGAACCAGTATAAACCCTGTGTCATTGAATGTTAGGCCACCTCCGATCACAACGTACGACAAAACTATAAATATTTACGTGTTGGTCACTTTCTGTACCGACAATAACTATATTAAGCATGCATGCATCAATAATGCAAGTTTTTCCCCTATCAAGGTAGCTAGTGTATGTGGTCAGGTGTCAAATCTACATGCATGGCGATCTACGACGTGGAGCAGCCAGCATCATGTCAGCCATATTTTAATCCAGCATCAGCCATAATTACATAAATCTGAAAGTAGTTAGGGTATGGATTAAGTTCACCTACAGCCTGCCAGCCAAGGAGCAATATTATTAATTAAACAATGCTTATTAACTACTCCTCCGTCCCAAAATAAGCGCTCATCTCGCACTTCGAGAAGTGAATTAATCTAAAGTTTAGCTGGATTTATAAAAAACAGTATTAACATTTATATCTCTAAATATGTTAACTATGAAAATATATGACGAGATTAATCTCATGATATATGTATTTTGTATCATAACCATTGTTACTTTTGTGTATATACTTAGTCAACCTTAAGATTTTGCCTCGTTATTTTGGGACGAGGGAGTACTCCGGCCGAGCGATTTCTCTATGGGTTACACGGTACAGGCGGCGTACAGCATCCAGGTTGTCTGATTATGTTGCAGGTACATGCACGCAAGATGGGCCTTGACAATGATTCCCTCCCTTTTGCCCCAAAATCATTCGTGCATGCAGTGCAGGGCAGCTAGCTAGCTTGGTGAACAAAAGGCGGCGGCGAGTCGATCAACAAGGAACCTGCTGGATATAGAGAGAGACCCAGAGGCCAGCCAGATCATTCGTTTGCACTTTTGTGTGTTTCGAGTGGAGAAAAAAAATACATTCCCTTTCAGTGCTCCTCCATCTTAATTCTTGAACGAACGAACTCTGAAGTTTGGAGCATATGCACAGATACAGTACTTACTATATACTCCCTCCATCGCAAATTATAAGTGATTCCAAAAATCTTGGAGAGTCAAAGTATCTTAAGTTTGACTAAAATTATAGAGAAAATTATAAAGATTTATAAGATCAAATAGATATACTATGAAAAATATAATTAATGAAGAATCTAATGATACTTAGTTGGTATCATAAATATTATTATTTTATCATATAAATTTGGTCAAATTTGAGATGTTTTGACTCTCTAAAATTTTTGAAACGACTTATAATTTGGGATGGAGGGAGTATAATATTTAAATATGCATGGATAGTACGGCCATGACAGGATTGGCGGAAAAGCAGAAAGGAACAGGGACAGAGAATCAAGAGATGGAGGAGGCACAACAAGGGTTTGCGACAGCACACGCGCCCATGGAAAGCCGCTCGATCGCTGCTGCTAATCTGCTATGTCGCCGAAGCTACTCCTAGCTGAAGCCTGAAGAAGGCTGCAAGCTGCCAGATTTCCGCGTGTGCGGGACGAAATTTCCTTTTGTTTTGCCAGCCGTTGGCGTGTGAATCCCGTATGGTTTTTGCTGCGGGATCCCCACTGTCATTATGCTGCTCCCCCGACAACTTATGAGCTTATCTCGCGGTCGTCAGCTCAACTGAACCCCCGCACCGCAGCTGCAGCAGGCTCAACAGTGGCGGCTGGGCTGCAAGTGCCAGACCAGTAATTCAGTGCACATTACCTGTTCGCTTCACATTACTGTACAGTAAGCCGCTGCTGGCTGCTGCCCCAGATTTGCTGCTTGCTGCTGCCTCTGCTGGTTGGCGAACGAAGAACACCTCCATCGCTCCACAGTCCACGGTCCCAGAACTGTTGTGTACCTGCTCATTTCCGTCCTGTTCGTTGATTTCAGCAAGGCTTATTCAACCAGTCAACAGTGTTTTCCTGTCACAAAAAATCAACATCAGCCAGCCCAAACCAGCACCAGCACCAACCAGCGAACATGGTGTTCTTAGTCAAGTCTGGTGTGTCCTGGCCTGTAAACATGGCATCGTGTTTTTCTCTGCCCACTGTTTTGATCAATGCTCAGTACGGGAAAGGTGATTGTTTTTCCTTGTGCAAATGAATGAATCCTGGCATTGTTTTGAGTTGGGCGGTGGAAAATACCCTTGGTTAGGGTACTGAGATGTCAGAGCGTGTATGGGAGAAGGAGCACATGCCGTGTAGGAGGGCAGCCTCAAAAATCCAGATGAGGAACCAATGCATTTATTTCTAAAGTAATGTACCAGCCGGTTTATCAACTAGAATCTAGGTTATGTTTAGTTCCATCAAAACTCCCAACTTTGGCACTATGCAAAAAGAAGATTCACCGTCACATTAAACTTGCGGTCCATGCATGAAGTACTAAATGTTGACGAAATCAAAAACTAATTGCACAGTTTGGTTATACTTTGCGAGACGAACGTTTTGAGCCTAATTAGTCAACGATTGAACAATTATTACCAAATAAAAACAAAATGCTACAGTATAGCTACAGTGCTGGAAATTCCGGCGGCGCCGATTCAGGAGGCAAACTAAACGCGGCCCTATAATTTTTTTTTTTTACACTAAAACAGCTTCAGGCGGCTTATGTATGGGCCTGTATCTTCCATTCAGACAGTCGCCCAGTTGGGGGCCGAGGCCATTTTTTTCCCCTATGATATGACAGAAGAAGAACAGACCCCCATCATTCACGTATTCCATCACGTAGACGTACCGAGAACATTTACCTGTCTCTGTTTTATTTGCAATAAGGCTGCGTTTAGTTCGCAAAATTTGAGAATTTGGTTATTATAGCACTTTCGTTTTTATTTGACAATTAGTGTTTAATCATGGACTAATTACGCTCAAAACGTTTGTCTCGTGATTTTCAACTAAACTGTGCAATTAGTTTTTTTTCGTCTACATTTAATGCTTCGTACACGTATCGTAAGATTCGATGCGATGGCTACTATAATACTTTTTGGAAACATTTTGGAAACTAAACACAGTCTAAGTAATCGTGTGTAAAAAAAGGGGGGAACGAGGATACAGTACTTGCGTTGTTGAGGCCTGCTGCTGATGCCGTCACGCCTCACGTTCTCGGGATCGTAACACCTGCGCCCTGCGCGCGGGGACGTCCAGGACCAGGACGGAGAAAGGCAGCACCCGCCACCACCAATGCGGCAACGCCGCAGGGGAACAGAACAAACCCGCAACTCCGTGCCCTGCACAACGGGCTCCACGCTGAATCCACACGGCGGCACTTGCGCTGGCACCGGACTCCGTTCTGTTCAGTTGGTTATGCGCGGAGATCACGCTCTTCGTCCCCTGCTTTTGCGCTCCTTTCCGTTGGTTCCTGCTTGTTTGACTCTCCAACAATGCCAACACTTCTCCGTCACCTCCCTGTTCCATGCGTAACAGTTCTGGTCTTCAGGTGTGGCGCTGCTGGGCTTGCAGCTGACCGCGGTATCCTGCTGCCAACCTCCCAGAACGTCTGAAACGGCGCGGCGCAACGCGAGAGCACCAAGCAAGCCAAGGGTGCCAAAGCGGCAAAAGCCAGCCAAGTCCTCCTCTATCCAACCCGCCTGCCCGTGACATTTGCTCGATATACACGGTAATTTTCGTAATTAAAACGGGTCTTAATCCTAATCACGCACTTTTGGGTCACCGGCACGCGGGCCCCATCCCGCGCGGCGCGTCCCCATCCGTTTCCTCTGCCTCTCTACCCCGCCCCCTCCCTCCTCTCCTTCCCCTGATCTCTATTTCCCATTCCGGCTCCCGTTCAACCTCAATTTTTGCCACCCATCCCCTCTCCTCCTCCCCTCCTTCCATCTCATCGCACCGTCGTCGGGAATGGCGGCCGCGCTGTGGACGCTGGTGGCGCTGTCGGTGGCGGTAGCGTTTGCGACGGAAGGTCGCGTGGCGGCGGGGGCGACGGCGGCGGCGGAGGCGGCGAACAAGGTCCTCCGCGCGCACCAGCTTCCGGGGGGCCTGCTGCCGGCGGGGATCACGGCGTTCCGTCACGACGCAGCCACGGGGCGGTTCGAGGCCCAGCTGGAGGCTCCCTGCACCGCGCGCTTCGAGGTCGGCCTGCGCTACAACACCACCGTCACCGGGGTCATCAGCCCCGGGCAGATCGCCGCCATCTCGGGCGTCGCCGCGCAGGACCTCTTCATGTGGTTCCCCGTCCACGACATCAAGGTCGACATCCCTTCCTCCGGCGTCATCTACTTCAACGTCGGCGTCGTCAAGAAGCACCTCCCGCTCGCCGTCTTCGACGCGCCGCCGGCCTGCACGCCCGACCCGCTCCTCCTCCGCACCGTCCCGCAGGTAAACACAGCGGTCGGCCCATCCACCGACTCGATTCCTTTTTCTGTTATTAGTATGGTTCGCGTGTTTTTTTCAAAGAGTCCTGATGAGTTCTTCTCCGGCGCCGCAGCGGCTGGAGGACGTGGGCGAGGACGGATTGGCCACGGGCGCCGCGGCGGCGTCCCGGCGATGATGGGTGGAGAAGCAGGAGGGTTCGACGGCGCCGGCGAGCCAGGATCACAAGCGCAGTTTTGAGAGGAGAACGAACGATCGCCGGTCGGGCGCCGCCGACGGCCGGCCTTGTTCGATGCACATAGATAGCGTGGGCATTTCCATTCTGTTTTTTTTCGTCAATCTGTTCTTATTATTACTCTTGTTGTCTTTCGTTCATGCCCGTGTACTTTTCGACCGGAATCCGCCGGCAGCCGGCTGCCGGAAGCACGCTCACGACGTCTTCCGGTGCGGCGACCTCCGGCGATATTTTTCGCGGTAATGGATGGATGGTTCTTGTACGTGTCAAGCGCGTCTGAGACGATAGCCCGGTTCGCCGCAGATGATTCCGTCGCCTTGTGAAGAGGGCTGCGGCCGCGCACTCGCGCGTCGTGACGACACGAATCTGGCTGGAGTGGAATCCTAGCACGCTTCCTTCTTTCTTCCCCTGCCTAAATGCCCAATCCATTGGCTGGTTCATCTGAGATTCAGAGCAATCTCATTGCATTGCAGCGTCGTTGTCTCGCTGATGCCTACAGGCTGCAGCATCCGTCGCCGCCGTCGACGTCGTCGTAGAAGCGAGGCCCGTGACGCCGCCTCTGTCCGTTCCATCGTGGCACCCAATGGGATCCCCGTCCCCTTCGCTGCTGCCACCTGCCACGGTTTCACGGTGCCGTCTCTTGTTGCTCTGGCGAGTGGCCACTGGCCGGAGAAAGAGAGGTCGCCTGATGCGAAAGTCCCATGATTCGCCACGACGGATGCTGACCAATCCCCTCCCCTCGTCTCTCTCGCTCCGATTAGTGCCCAGCCTCCTGATGCGGATCCTGATATGTCTAGCCAAGAAAAGCGCAGTCGCTTTGCGGAGGTGATTGGACCAGTCGCCACACTACTGGGTCTGGGTGGATGGTCACACTTCAATTCTCCATGTCTGCAGAAGATGCCTCCTCCTCAGCCTACCGGCTGCAGTTTCGCTAACTGTTCTGGCTGGATTTTTTCCAGCCCTGCTAACTGAACGGGACCACAATGGAATCTTTAATTGGTTTTTTCTCTCCAATAACCAAAGTACTATTAGTACGTTTTGCTAGTAGAACACTAGTAGTAAATCTGGTGACCATTGATCGCGGTGACTGAGTATGCATGATTGGGTGGCATGGCTGATGGGTCTGGTACACACATGTGACGAGTCCGGCCTGGGCAATAATTCCGGGTCACAAGCGGACAGGATGATGCGCATGGAGACCCTGGCTGGCTCTTCCAAAATCCCCATTTTTTCCTGTTCGACTAACCCGACAGCTCAGGAATATCTGGATCGCAGGTGATGCCACACATCGTGTCGGTGTTTTGGAACCGGGGGTCCCTCAACCAACGAGTGAATTTGTGCTGCGTGCCCCTAATCTCGGATGGTGGCGCAAAGAGACACAAGGTTTATACTGGTTCAGGCAATCGAGGCCCTACGTCCAGTCCGAGAGATCGATCTTGTATTCCTTGCACCGGAGTGCTCGTAGTAGGGGGTTACAAGCTAGGTGAGAGAGGGAACTAGCCCCAGGTCTCGGCGAGTGTGGTGCGGGCTGCTTGAGGCGTTGTTCCCAAGCAGCGTAGGAGTGCGTGGTTCTATCGGCGTGTTCGTCTTCCTGGCCTTTTTCAGAAATGGCCCCAGTCCCTCCCTTTTATACTCTAAGGGAGGACCGGGACCGTGCACAGGGTGCTACATAGCGCTTCTGTAAATGGGGTGGCGTGTCCGAGCCCTCGTAGTCGGCCCCTTTGTTGTGTGGTATGGTCGATGGAGTGGCCCCGTCCTTGTCGTGGCGGAAGTGACATCTTTGGTCGACTTCGGTCTTGTGCGTCGTGGGGCTCGAGACGGCTTGATGCGGGACATGGCGGGCGACGTCTTTGGTCGCCGATGTAATGACGTCGTGAGGGAGCGGCTGGCTCTGCAGATGCCGAGGCCGAGCCATCGTAGGGGGGCTCGGTGGTCATGGACCCTCAGCCGCCGAGGCCAGTGAAGCAAACTGTCGAGGCCTTGGGGAGAATTCGCCCGGTATCGATTCCGAGGCCAAAGGAGCGATAGCCAGACGTGGCTCCCCATGCGCGTTGTCCTTGGAGCGGAGTTGGCGACATAGTGAGGCATGGGCGTCAACCATGTGCACAGTGGTTAATACGATGGCGGGTAACCCCCCTTGATCCCCGCCTCTGTCCCATCGGCCATTCTTTGCCTTGTCTGCGGGCATCTTGTTGTTGTCGAGCAAGCAGCTTAATTTGAGTTGATCGACACGACGTTTTGCGGAGGGACGGAGGAGAAGGAAGAGGTAGTGAGTCTTGAGCCCGCCTTCTTGCGAGACGGAGGGTCGGTGGCCTCGGCCGAGGCCTCTGGCGGGGAATCGACCGAGGCCCGCGGTGAGGGGGCCTCGGGCGAGGTGGAGAATCGGGTGAGGTCCATGGTGATGAGGGCCTCGGGCGAATCGGAGAATCGGCCGAGGCCATGGTGATGAGGCCTCGGGCGAGTCGGAGAATCGGCCGAGGCCCATGTGATGGGGCCTCATGAGAGTCGGAGAATCGGCCGAGGCCCATGATGATGGGGCCTCGGGTGAGTCGGAGAATCGGGCCGAGGCCAAAGCGTTCGTTATTTGGTTTCGATCTTTCTGAAATCTAAGCGATCGTTCTTTGGATCTTGCTTAGGGTACCCCTTCTCACGGTGTCCACAAGAGTGGCCCTCGAGCCTTGGGGGAGTGGAGGCACTCTCCCCGAGGTTCCGGCGAGAATTGGCTCTTGATAGCTCTGCCGGGATGGTGTTTTGTTTTCGAGGTTTTGGGTGGGTGTGGCGCTCCTACTGGGTGTAGCCTCCGAGGCCACGGAGGAGTGATTTCACTTCTTGAGGGCTTTTTTTCTCTTCGAGTGAGGCGTTTTGATCGTGTTTGCGGGCCCGTGGGTGCGAGTTCGGATCGGGGCCTCGGCGATCTTCTGCGGAAAGAGCCCCTTAGCTCTCACTTTGGAGCGAGAGGGCCGTCGGGGGTTCTCCGGCTTTTTGTACGACCCTCGTGCTTCCCTTTTTCGCTCGAAGGAGGGGTGGAAGATGCCATGCTACCCTCGGTGGGCGCGGCGATGGCATCTCCGGTGAGTGATATCGGGTAAGTCCGAGTGGAGGCCCGCACCCCGTTCATTTGGGGGGGTCGGCTAAGCGGTCCGGAGACGCGCTCCAAGAGTAGTACCAGAGGGTTTCTCTAGTGGGTGCCGAGGCCGTTCGGCTGGGCCTCGGTGGCTCAGTGCCTCCCTACGGTGGGATCCCATTCGGAGACCTCCCTACTGGGTCTCGGACACAACCACAGGCGTGCTCGACAGGCTCGCCGTGTAGTCGCCCCCGACTCTTTTTGCCTGGGCATTGCCGAAAACCCCGGGGCTTGACTTTGAACCCCTGGACCGTGAATGGGATCGGGTCGCTTGTTTTTATCTTGGGTGCAGGAAGAGCCCCCGAGCCTCCAAGACGGAGGCGAGAGGGCGGTCGGGGTCCTCCCGACTTTTTTGCCCGTCCCCCGCCCGTCCTTTTCGCTCGGACGGGGGGGGCTGTTTGCCGAGCCCACCCGTGTGCGAGCCTGAGCCGCTGGGTCTCGGCAAAGTTGCAGGAGGAGCCCCCGAGTCTCTCGCACGGAGCGAGAGAGCGGTCAGAGGTCCCCTGGCTTTTGGTTCGCCCCTCGCGTGAGGTCATTGCCTGAGCCCCCCCGGGGTGCGAGCCTAGGTCGCGGGGTCTCGGCGTCTTTTGCAGAAGGAGCTCCCTAGCCTCTGCATGGAGCAAGAGGGCCGTCAGGAGTTCTTCCGGCTTTTTGAACGACCCTCGCGCTTTCTTTTCGCTCGGAAGGAGGGTTGATTTTTTGCCGAGACCCCTCGTGTGCGAGCTCAAGTCGCTGGGCCTAAAACAGCGTTTTGCGGGAAGAGTCCCTTAGCCCTGACTGCGGGCGAGAGGGCCGTCGAGGATTCTCGACTTTTATTCGACCCTCGCGCTTCCTTTTTCGCTCGGAAGGAGGGTGGAATGTGCCATGCTACCCTCGGTGGCGTGAGCGATGGCACTTCCGTGGTCACATTATCGGGTAAGTCCGAGTGGAGGCCCGTACCCGTTCATTTGAGGGTCGGCTAGCGGTCCGGAGACAGCGCTCCAAGAGTACCGGAGGGTTTCTCTAGTGGGTGCCGAGGCCGTTCGCTGGGCCTCGGTGGCTCGGTGCCTCCCTACGGTGGGATCCCATTCAGAGACCTCCCTGCCGGTCTCGGACACAACACAGGGCGTCCCAAGCGTTTCGCTTGCTTGGGCCTCGGCCTGTGTAGGCTCGCCCGTAGTTGCCCCTGACTCTGTTGCCCTGGGGCGGCTGTCGAAACCCCTAAGGGCCCAGCCTTCGAACCCCTGGACCGTAGTGGGCTTGGTGCCCAGTTCCTTTGCCTGGAAGGAATCGGGGGGGTTATTTCTCTCCCTACGGTTAATTAATGGCAGGCGCGTCTTTTGAGGCGGCTTTTTCGGGGAGGCGAAACGGCTCCTGCTGCTGCTGCGGTTGGACGCGACGTGGCGTCAGCCGACGGGACGTACCTGCACGCGCGATTAACGAGGAGGGAAGCCGACGGGACGTACCTGCACGCGCGATTAACGAGGAGGGAGAGTGTGCGTGGGCGGTAAGACCGGATCTGGATATCCGCGCCGGATTTTTTGGGGGAAACTTCCCCGATTTTGTCGCCCGGCGGTTTCGTCTTGTCACTGCATAAATACGCAAAGGGCCTCGCCCTTCCCCTTCTTACCTCTCTCGCATTCGCTTTTGCTGCCTCCGTGCCGTTGCTGAGAGCATAGAGCGCCGGGGAAGAGAAGGGCGAGGGCGAGAGACCAATAGAGAGAGGGGGAGAGATTACCGCCGTAGTGGCGTCCTCCGCCGCGCGCAATGGTGGTGGTCCCGTCATCCTCCGGCGGATCCACGGGGCGGTCCGGCGTCACCGAGGAGAAGCTGCGATCGCTCGTGGAGGCGGTCTTCTTCGCCCGATCACCGACCCCGACGAGCGGAGTGGATTGCTCCGGG